GAACGAGTCCCCCAAAGAAAAGAGCCGCCACGCGCGTTCTCCCTCCGGAAAGGCCACGCCCCCGCCTTCTCTCGTGTCCAATAGCTGTGCGAGGGCGGGGCGGCCTCGGTCTCGCTCGGGAGAGGCTATATAGGGAGCTGCTGGCAGCGCAGCTCGCTCTTTTGCGTCTGGACTCGGTGCTTGGTTTTGTGCCTTTGGTGAGTAGGTGTCGGGGCGAGGGTTCCAGCGGGCACTGGAGGCCGGGACTTCAGTCGGAAGCTGCAGAATTGTGAAAAGACTTATTGATTCGAATGAGCGTAGTGTTTTATATTGAGAACTGGCAAGTGGGGAAGACGCAGCCGGGCTGCCACGTGTCCCGAGTCGTGGTGGCTCAGGCTTCGAGCTTAGGCTGGAGGCTGCTGGTGGCCATCGGCGCTGCGCGCGGCCTGGTTCCTAATCCCGGGCAGCCGGCTGGCTGAGCCTGAGCAGCGGCAGGAAAACCACATTCCCAGGATTTGGGGCTAGGAGCTAAGTTTTACCTGAAGGCAAGTGTCTTCTGTCGCCGGATAAAACGGTTATTTCAAAATGGACAGCCCCTGATTTTGCCGGAGACTGAGTTGTATGGTGGCCAGGTGGCGCTGTCTGCAAATCGGATCACTGAAGCGGGAAGGGTTTTTTTTTTTTTTTTTTTGTAAGTTGTATGGTGGCCAGGTGGCGCTGTGTGCAAATCGGATCACTGAAGCGGGGAGGGTTTTTTTTTTTTTTTTTTTTTTAGTAGTGAACACCTTGAGCTCTATTCCATTAGAGTGCTTAGTCTTAAATATATTGATTCCCCGCAGGAACAATGGCGCTCGGTGTAACGAAGCCGTTACGTGAAGATGCTAAGGTAAGTGCTTTTGAGAGGTTAGTTTTTAAACAGGTGAAATAAACCTGTTGATTTACAAGAATAAAAGGTGGTGCATCATTTGAAATTTGCTTCCTCCTTACTAGATGCAAAGGAAAATTCCAAAACTTACGGGAGAATATTTGCTGGAAAATTACCTGGCTAAGACCTGACAATCTTGCCAGGTATGTATGTGTGTGTGTTGGACTAGTATTTTGATTCAGCGTATGTTTAGTCTATATACAGTCTAAATGAAATTTTTTTGTTCTTGAACAGCATCCTGGGAGTTGGTGATTACTAATGAAGCTGTGGATGTCACTGGCTGTCAGATTCGTTTTGAAGTAAGTTGTGTGGCTTACAAGAAAGTGCTTGCCTTTTAATGTTTTGGTTTATGGTCTAATCAATGATGAAACCTATCCCGAAGCTGATTGCCTGAAGAAAAGCATATACGGATTCAGCTTCTGAAATAAGACCAGTATGAAAAATGAAATGAATTTTTGTTACCTGCAAGGGGGAAACTACCTCACAATAGTTTTGTTTTGTTTTCTCTGCCAACAGTGAGAGGTCGCTGTCTGCCTGTTGAAAGAGGCCAGTTTACTATGACGTTTTTAAGCTGCAACCATTTCTGTGAGTCACATTTTTGCTTAACAGTCAATATTGTGTCCTCGGTCTTATCTGTGATGATCCTATCCCGAACCTGAATTTCTGTTGAAAAAACTTAATACGGATCTGGCTTCTGAGATAGACCGTTATAAGGACAATAGCCTTTTTGGAAATAAATTTTAATAAGTTCTGATATTGGTAGGTTTGTAAATCTGAAGTGTTTTCTTTTTCTAGGTGTTAGAAGATTTACCTGCCTTTTGTATGGAAAACTGGTGATCTTCATTTTGTGGACATGGAAAGAAAACATGCAGATCAAGATTATCTGGAGTATTTTTTAGTCATGTCACACTGTCCTGGAGGCTCACAACCTGTTAACTAGTAGATTACATCCTAGCTGTTTCTAGGAGTGCATGTCAAACTAAGTATTTGTAATGGAATTTTTTTCCCCCAGTTAAGGAGTCTTGTAATCAAATAATTAATTGGATGAATGTATTTAAATGTAAAATGTGTAATTAAAGCTGTGTAAAAGTTTATTTGAAAGAATGTTTAAACTAAAAAATGGAGAGTAATGATGAGAATAAAGAGGGGCACAGTGTGGCAGTGGAAGGTCGCTGAAAATAATTTGAGTTAGAACTAGTCAAACATTGTACAGAATGGATTTAGTGTAAACAGTAATGACATCTGATCTGTCCCAGGTGATTAGGTCCCCATTCATGATTATTTTACCTAAATAGCTCCCAAGCCCTCATATTTAAATATCAAGATCAAAATGCCAAATTTTTTTCTTCAGTGAGCAGTCATCTTTTCCCTAAAATGTTTTCTTGCCTTAGAAGAATTCTATTTTGAACCCATACGGTCAAGAAAGGCTCTGAAAATGTTTCTTGCACCCATATTAAAATGAACTAAAATTAAAAGGGCTTAGTATTTGGGGTATCTGCACATTATAAAACCAGGTGCAAGAAATTCAGTTTGGGAAAGCAAGGGGCCTTGAGACTTGTTTCAATGAGAAAAGCAATTAACATATTGTGAGTATCCTGATATTACCAAAAGAAATGAGAAAGACTAACCTTAGATAAATCCTTAGAGGTAAAGTACACCTTCAGGTAAGTATTCAATGAGATTGTGTCTAAAAAATGCAACAATTGCATTCTTGAATATTGCAGCTCTGATATAAGATCAGTAATTAAATGGCATTGTTTGTGACTTTATTAGTTGCATTAATTACATGTACAGTGGGGCCTTGACTTACGAGTTTCCTGACTAACAAGGTTTTCGGGCCGATTTTTTGCTTTGAGTTGCGAGCTAAAATTCAGGTTACGAGCCAGCTTCAGATACCCCACCGCTAGTTGGCGCAGCGCAGTGAATGTCACAGTGACCGCCACAACGTCAGCCCAGCATCACGTGTCTCACTCGTTCACTTTTTGATTTGACATACAAGTAATTTGAGTTATGAGCTCCGTCACAGAATGAATTAAACTCGTAAGTCAAGGCCGCACTGTATTTAGAAATCAGTAGTAAGTAGTGTGTAAGATCCATTTAATGATTTTATAGACACCCTAATTACCTGATACTTGGTTATACAGCAAGTTCTAAGTGAACAATGGTAAAAGACTAATTAGGATCCTACACAAAACTTTCAGACAAGTGGCTACCCTTAGTCAGAGCTGGCAAACTTCAAAGCAAGGCAAAGTTGTGAAATAGACAAAATTATCCCTCTGACCTTTTCCTGCACTTCTAGTTTTGCTTCTTTCCCGATTCTTGTAATGTTACATTTCCTTAGTTAATAGATTATAGTGTGCATTTACTTGATTGCATTGTATTAGGTTCTGCCAGAGTTCAGGTCTTCTATGTCAGTAATGTAAAATACCAAGGAAAATGAAAAGCAAGATATCTTGATATTGTCAACCGTTTTTACACAAGCTATAGAGATAGCAGTACTGTGGGAGACAGTGTCTCTGGTGATGGAACAAGTGAATTTGTGACTCAGCCAGCTCCAGTGTGAGATTTAGATAGAAGCACTGAGCTAAGATGCTCCAGAACCTGAGATGAGTGGGGAGGGTAAGACTGAAATGTTAGAAAAGTGCATTACTAATGTTTTTAGCAAGGTTTGTTTAGAGTTGTAAGAAGCTAGTCATTGGAGTCCCCTAAAACATGTTTTCAGTTGAAGGTGTAGTCATATTTAGCCTTATTGACTGCAGGATCCACACCTGGATAAGAAATGAGTTGGGTGCAAAAAGGTAACAATTTTAGTGTAATTAGATTGAAAGTTCACCATGTCAGCTTTAATTAAAATTACTAGTTCACTTAGACGCCGGGGTGGGATTTCTCATTTCACACAAGAGTTCTTGCTGTAAAATGCTTTCTGGTTTATGAATGCCAGCTTGGTAATAAAACAGGCAGCTACTGGCCAAGACTAGGGACCTGGGGGATTTGCCCTCTAAATTAATAGGGAATTCAATGGAGACTCAAGGCTTAGAGACCTAAAAGAATGACACTGATAGCCCTGCTTGTTTAGGACTGGTTTCAGAAGTTAAAAGAAGATACATGTCTGCCTTTAGTGACTAGCTGGTAAGAATTTCCTCTCTGTCTTACACCATGCTCCCAGGTTATCTTAAAGTTCAGTTGGTTCAAACCTACCATTTGGTGTTTTCTAAAATTAGTTCCATTGCCAGAAATCCAATATCCTACTGCGCCTGGCTTCCCATTCAAGTGCCCTCTGAACTGATTATGTGCTTCATAATCCTCACGGTTTGCCCAGCCAGTATGAAACTGCTTTTGGCTGCTTTTATAGTTCTCCCAGCAGTTTCCCAGTTAGAGCCTTTTAATTCCAGGCTACTGGGATAGTATGCTTGTCCTTTGCCAGTTCTTATATTTTTCCTCCTGAAAATTTGATTTCAGGTCCAAACAATGCTTAAAGCATAATTAAAATTGCTTCACTGAATTGCCACTACCCCTGGTCTCTACCTCACTGGTTATATGTATTTGGTTATGTACAGAGATTGGATCAAAACACAAATGTACAGTGAAGTTTGAAATTTTATGGACCATTGTGGTTTTAATAAGAACTTCCTTAGTCTCAAGTCCTGGCCACTCTACCACTTGTCCACTGTGTGGCTGAGTTATAATGGGAAATAAGGACTTAGTCTCAGAATTGAGGTTTTTTTCAGTCAAATGGATTAATATACTGATTTCAGAGAGGGAGGGTTAGAAGCATCAGTAAGAGAATCATTGATTGCCTGCCCCCTGCATGCCCCACACTGGGTATGGAGCCTGCAACCTGGGCAAGTGCCCTTGACCAGAATCAAACCCCAGACCCTTCAGTCTATAGGCCAAGGCTCTATCCACTGATATTTTACACAGGCATGCACCCATCAAATTATTACAGTCAAGATAATGACTGTCCTCTCCCAAAAATGTTCTCTTGTAGAGGCTTGATTTTGAACATGTTAACTTTTAGATGGCAAACTCCCAAATGAGATTGTCTGGAGTTTCAGGGGAGAGGTGTGAGCTGGAGAAATAAAATTGGAGTCATTAGCATGTGGATGGTATATTTAAAGTCACAATATTAGATGAGATCAGCAAGGGAGTGAATATAAATAGAGAGGAGAAGTGGTCCAAGAGTTGAGTCCTGGAACATTCCAAGAGCAGGACATTCCAGGTTTAGTTCAAATCGTGGAGATAGTTTTGTGCCAAGGGACAAAAACTGGGAAACAAATTTGTTGTCAAGTCCAACTGCCATATCTGGAACAGAAACTAGAATGAAAAGCAAGGAGTTCAGGAATGAAAAGCAAGGGTGAGAACTAGGCAAATATCTGATGACAACTTTGTAAAGTATCAGGCAAAGTGGTCTTCAGGACAGAATGAGATAAATTTAGGAAGTGTTACAAGAGTTTTCATCAGACACTGGATTTAGAGAAGAGGAATTTACAGACTTGTTACAGGTTTGCCTTGCAGTGCTAAGCTGCTGAGGCTGAAAACTGATTTTAACAGTTAATGAATATAAATCCTTCACTATTCTCCCATGGGGCTTGTCTGCATGGCTGCGAGCAGAAAGCAGATCAGTGGATTAATCCAAAATTATGGGTAAACTAACCAGGAAAAGCAGAGCAATAATGGACCAAAATAATTAAAGATGCAAATAAAAGTTTTGTTGCCTGGGCAGTGTGGTTCAGTGGCTGAGTGTGCAGGAGGCAGGCAAAGATTCTCATTGATGTTTCTCCCTCTTCCTCTCTGAAATAAATAAAAATGTACTTTTTACTTTATATATATATTTTTTTAATTGATTTTTTTACAGAGAGGAAGGAAGAGGGATAGAGAGTTAAAAACATCGATGAGAGAAAAACATCAATCAGCTGCCTCCTACTGGGGAAGTGCCCACAACCAAGGTACATGCCCTTGACCAGAATCGAACCCAGGACCCTTCAGTCCACAAGCCAATGCTCTATCCACCGAGCCAAACCTGTTAGGGCAAAATACACTTTTTTAAAAAGTTTTGTTAAAGTTATTGACCTTGAGATCCAGGCTGATTAGGGGGGAAAAAAACGAGAGTGCTGGAAAACTGTAACAGGTAATAACAAAGATCAGGTGTAACCCCAGTGTGATTGTATTTGGAGATGGAGTCTCAAAGGAAGTGACTAAGATTAAATGAGGTCATGGCCCTGACCGGGTAACTCGGTTGGTTAAAGCAGTGTTCCAATATGCCAAGGTAGTGGGTTTGGTCTTCAGTTAGGGCACATACAAGAAGCAACTGATGAAACCATAAATAAATGGAACAACAAATCGATGTTTCTCTCGCTCTCTCACCCTCTCTCAAATGAATTAACTAAAGTTAAATTAGGTCATAAGGGTAGGGCCCTGATTCGATAGGATGAGTATTCTCATAAGAAGAGACCATGTAAGACCAGTGTGATGGTAGCTACCCACAAACCAAGAGGCCTCAGAATGAAACCTGCCTTGAATTTGGACTTTTCAGCCTCCAGTACTGTGAGAAAATTAATTTCTATTGTTTAAGCCACCCAGTCTGTGGTATTTTGTTATGGCAGTTCTAACAAACTATAACAGAAGCAAAGGATAAATGACCACTGCTATAATTTTGGGAATTTATATTTGGCTAGATAATTATAAATAATTTTTTAAAGCCCATGCAATATAATCTCTCTGGCTTTATACATTCTCCCTTTAGGTTTTTATTTACTACATTGAAATAGGATCTAACTAACTTAGAAGTGAATATTGTCTGAAGTTTTATGCTTCATAGGAAAAACTTTTTAACAAATGAAATTAGTTCTTTCATAATTACTTTATACAACAAAAAATGATTTATTTTTACTCAAAATTTCCTTTTTCTAAATGAACATTAGGATTGCAATAAGGCCGGAACCGGTTTGGCTCAGTGGATAGAGCGTCAGCCTGCGGACTGAAAGGTCCCAGGTTCGATTCTGGTCAAGGGCATGTACCTGGGTTGCGGGCACATCCCCAGGAGGAGATGTGCAGAAGGCAGCTGATCGATGTTTCTCTCTCATCGATGTTTCTAACTCTCTATCTCTCTCCCTTCCTCTCTGTAAAAAATCAATAAAATATATATTAAAAAAAAAGAATTCAAAAGTATTAAATTAAAAAAAAAAAGATGGCAATAAGTTTTAAAATGACACTTTTTTGTAACTGATAGGTCATACCTATCATGATTTTCCCCCCTATTTCATGAAAAGTACTTGGTATAAAATTATGACTGACACTTATAGTGCTTTTTATTTTTCACAGTACTTTGACATACATCATCTTGGTTTCTCCTGCAGTAACCCTGGAATGTAGGTAAAGTAGGCATTACTTAATATGTAATGTTAGTCAAATTGAGAGATTTAAAATATCAGCTGCTTAAGGTCTAGCTCACTAGAAAGCATGATTTCATCATCCTCTATACTTTGCACATTAAAACATTGTGGGGCTTTTAGTTTGAATGGGACATTTAAGAAGAACAGTAACAAACTAGGACAGTGGTTCTCAACCTTCTAGCCCTTAAAATACAGTTCCTCATGTTGTGACCCAACCATAAAATTATTTTTGTTACTACTTCATAACTGTAATGTTGCTACTGTTATGAATCGTAATGTAAACTTCTGATATGCAAGATGGTCTTAGGCGACCCCTGTGAAAGGGTCGTTCGACCGCCAAAGGGGTCGCGACCCACA